GTGTGCTCTTCCGATCTGGGGTGGGGGTGACACCTGAATTTTGCCGCAAAACCGGGGATATCGCCATTTCGTCCCCGGGTATGCATGGAATTTTTTTTTCACCACAACGTTCCTTCTTGTAGAACACACGTACCCACCAAAGGGCGTCTTGTGGGAGTCTAAGGTGAATGTGAAAACATCGAAATGGCCTTAGGGTTGCTGAGGAGAAATCTTACCATAGCGGCCAGCTGAAAAGTGCCTGTTTGGGTGGGCACAACATCAGCGGCGCAACGGTTTTCATCCTGATTTCTTTTTAGGGAGTCGGTGTATGATCAGAATGGATCGATTATGCATTTATTCCTTGGTTTTGGCTCTCGTCGTGCGCACAGCACCGCTGTACGGTCAAAAAGGGGTGGAACCAGTCCCTGATTTCAGGCCGGAAACCCGGGCATGTGAAGATTTTGTCCCAGGGTGATGATCGTTCCCAAAAAATAAAATCTCAAACGAACCAACGTAGCAGTAGACGTGTGTATACCAAATATCAGATCATGAAACGCTTCAGAACGCACGAAATCAGCCACAAAGGCCAAGTGTCCCTCAGTAGGGGGGGTGGTGCTTTCCTCCATTTTTCGGTCAACAAAGAGGTCCACTGCACCAGCCCGATAGCATCTACACGTGCGTTTTTTCTTTTAGGGAGATAGACTATGACATATATATCCTATCGCCTGATACTTCAAAATAGTTACAGATCGCTTTCACGCCCGATAACGAGCTGTTGGCGCGAGAGGTGGCTTAGGCGTCCCTTAATAGGTCGGTTTACTCTACGCGTTGGAAAAAATAGTGTGCAGTGTACTTGGGGAAGATGAGGTACTACCCGACTACACTGCAACAACTGCAACAACACTGCTGCTGCTGCTGTCTGCATACGTAGACTATATGCATACCTCACCGCGAAAAAACTACCTTACTCGACAGAGGGAACAAACACCTATCTTTTGCAGTATATGAAGAGGGAACAGTGGACAAGTGGGGTTCCCGTCGCAAGTCAGAAACAAGCACCACAAAAAATACTAAAAAGGAATAAATTCATCGCAAGCGATCTTCAACATAAAAATCAAGTGATTGCTGAGCGGTCCATAAAAACCACGTCATATTTTAGGGGGGCGAGATAACAAGGGGAGCGCAACGCAGAAACCACGTCATATTTCAGACCCTTGACAAAAAATTATTTTCTAGGAGAGGCTTATTCGGCGACAACGTACGTACATAATAATAGGCCACAAAGCGAGAACGGTCGTTAACTTCTTACTTATTCGTCCTGTGGAAAAATCGACGTACACACCTGTGAAATACATACGTAGACTACACGCAATTGTGAAATTCCGGCGTTTCTTTCAATCACACGCGAACCTCTCGGCTCGAGATTTTCTCACCCCACACAGCTGCCGCCTCTAGACTATGCCTCATTGTGGAAAACATGAAAATATCCCCTATTTCTAGGCAAAGGCACAAATTTCAATATATATATATATTGTTGCATAGCATTCAATGAGTCCCATAATTTTTTTAGTCGCACGGGATCAGTTCCGAAAGAAACAAAAACGTGTATTAATAGTTTCGAATCGCTTCGTTCAGTAAGGTACAGTCAATATGCGAACATAAGGACAACGACGATGACAACGACGACGACAACAACCCCCAGCAAACAAACGCAATGGAAATATTCCAGGGTATGTTCTCCATCGGTGACCAAAGATCGACGGGCATATTATTTACCTGCGACGACGATACTGTAGAGCCAAGCCTAAAATGTGGCACGTAAAGAACGGGAAAAAACGATCCACCACACGAAGGAAGTGCGGCATAGCTTGATAGCGTGTGCTATCCTTTACCAACAATGTCATAAAACGAAAGATAATAAACAATTGAGGGGGCCGAGTCGCCACAGACGCTATTCGTCCGCAAGATAGGATAGGATGGGAAATCTACAACGTGTGGCATACGCTACATTGTACCATGCCGGAAAAATGAACAAAAATAACGATCCAACGATCACCATGAAGGTATCATTTCATTTCCCCAGCCCGCGGACAGAAGAAGAGCCACAAACGCGATAGCCTAGCAAAACCAAACAGCGAGGCCATGACACGGAGTAGTTTTAAGGACCTGTTCACCATGGCAATCAGACTGCTCAGCCATGCCACAGGGCACAAAGCTCGACATCACTCATTCGCTACCCAGGCGAAGGAACAAAACCAAACGCTACTGTTCGCGAGCACAGAAGAAACATCACAGCCCCGCCTGTTTTCGAAACAATTCTATTGTCAGGCAAATTTTGGTCGGGCGTGCTTGAGGAGCCGCAGGACCGAACCGTTACGCTTTTTTCTTGGACAACAGTTCCTTTCCGGACCTGATAAGTGACGGAACCAAAACAAAAGACGTCCCGCTACACATGACGCACGAAGCTCATGGAAACGCTACCCATTTCATTGTTCGTCGCCTTTCGTTGAGCACTGTCGCAGGCAGCAACTTCGAAGTAGCGTTCGCCCAGAACATCACACCTGAAGATAGGAAGAAAGAATTTACCGGTTCAGATCAGTCACGCCTTGCGACCTGCGTCCTACAACGAGGCTTGCCTACATGCAACATGACAGCCCCACGGAACACAAACCTGATTTCGTAAGAGTTCCAACCACTTTTGGGTGTCGAGCGTCTCCGGGTGGTTTCCCCCAAGCATCTCCGTGCGGATTTGAAGCGCCCTCTCCAACAGTAGGATTGCCTCCGCGAACTCCCTCTGTGGACGTTTTCGGTGCAGCGGTGAAAAATTCAACCCAACGCACGAACGGCGTATAAACCGATGCTGGAGACAACCGCAGTGTTTCATTCGGGGGCAATATCCAACGTGCGGTGAGTTGATGCAAGGTTGTGGTCCAGCAAACAAAATCCGCACGACGGGGTACACGACCTTGTTTTCGCAAGCGCCGGGCACATGCTCCTGTCACTATTGGCTTCAACATCCCCCAAACCAATTTGAGGCGATACCTAAAGGGTCAGCGTGTCTCACCTGCTGATACATCAATACCGTCCGCTCGTTCAGCGCTGAAGCCACGTCGGGATGGTCACGCCCTTGAATACGCTCACGGGCGTTTACAACCTCCTCCAACAAACGAGAAGCCTTGTCCAGGAGACCCTGCTTGGTGTACAAGTCCGCCATCGCCCCTAGCGACGTAATCGTGTCCGGGTGGTCTACTCCCAAAGCGCCTTCCCTGATGGCCAGAGCTTTTTCGAACAAAGCGAGCGCCTCAGCGTTCTTTCCCTGCAGGAACAAAAGGAAGAATACCAGTAGACTGCACGAAAACCCGACGTTCTTCCGTTCCCATAGCAACCGCCAACACAAAGGAGTGGACCATCCAAGCAAAGCCATGTGCTTGATTTCTCGACATATCATATTTTCGTCCTCCTTGTGGCGGACATACTCTTGCGGCAGAGGCCCACCGAAAGCAGCAAACGAATACATCTCCGCGGCAACCTTTTTCTACAGATGCAACAGCAGGTTTCTGCAATGCTTTTAACGGCTGAACAGGTGTACATGAAGAGGTACTACATCTTCGCAGATTGCTCAACGCAAGAAATACTCGGAAGCATCTTTGGGAGCCGCACCTAGCGCACAACAAGCGCTCCCGGTTGCGGGCAAATTCAGGAAGAGTACAGCCAACGGCGGGGCAACAATACTCAACAATGACGCGGCTGTCGACTCAAAACAGCCCCACCACCAAAATTCTTCGTGAACGCTCCAATGGCCAAATGCCAACACCAACCCGAACGTTCACCCGCACGATAATTTTCTCTCACCTGGTCGCTCAAGACTACTGCCCACATGCTAAGCGCTGAAGCCACGTCGGGATGGTCACGCCCTTGAGCACGCTCACGGGCGCTGACAACCTCCTCCAACATAGGAGTTGCCTTCTCCAGGAGGCCCTGCCTGGCGTACAAGTCGGCCAAAGCCCCTAGAGACGTGATAGTGTCCGGGTGATCCACTCCCAAAGCACCCTCCCTGATGGCCAGGGCTCTCTCGAGCAAGGCATGTGCTTTCACGTACTTTCCCTGCAAGAAACCCAACAGAAGGCGTATTCGGCGCGGAAGCGCGTACTGTGGCGGACTGTGCAACATTTCGGTGATACTCGTGTGCATAATACTCAGGAATAGGGGAGCGACGTGCTCGATGGCTCGACGTCTGATTCACCTTGTGGCGCCCAAGCTCTTGCCCCAGAGCCCTGATTGGTAGCACTATACCAAGGTCTTCCGCGGAGCGATGCGCTTTCGCGGATCCACTGGCAAGGTTCCGGAACGGTCCTCACTGAATAACAGAGTGTCCAAGAGCGCTACAAGCACGCACAAACTGCTCAACGTCTTCAAACATCCACAAAGCATATAATAGCTCCCACCTGAGCGCTCAACAACCCTGCCCGGTTGTGAAGCACATTCGCCACTAGCGGGTGGTCGTGCCGGTGAGCTTTCTCCCAGATCTTGATGGCACGCTCAAACAGCGGTTGGGCCTCCGTATCCTTGCCCTGAAATGTCCGGGAAGCGTGCGACGCGAGCGATTTGGTCTGGATCACCTAGCAACATGTGCTATACACCGCCGTCGTTGTTGAGTCAAGATAACCCAACCACGAGAACACTCCGCGAACGCTCCAAAATTGTTTTTGAGTTACACGTTCCCACCGTGACTCCTAAAAACATCGCACGGTACATCAGTGGTATCTGAAGCAGGGACGGCCACATTTTATACCATACCAACTTGCTTTACCACGCTTGAGGACGCGGACGGCCTCCCCCAACAGACGATATGCGACGGCAACCGCGGTGCAAGCAACTCGGCAAGGTTTCGGGGTTGTGGACGCAATTCCCGTTCAGGACGGCTACGGTCGATGGACAAGAAGATTGCGTTTCAACAGATGTGAATCGATCAGCCGGGGCGCGGGTGTTCACATAGTGGCAGGCTTTCTGGTGGTGGACCTTGCATGCAATTCGGGTTGCGGGGCAGTGGAGGATGGTGGGGGCAGCGTCTACTGCAGACCATGTAGACAACCGCCAAGCACCCCGGAAGAATGCGCGTCTAACGCGAGCAGGGATGCGTTCGGGGGGCATGTAAATATAGCCCAATTGACCGGAACGGCCATGGTACGAGCACATCCAACATAGTGTAGGATTAGGATACAGCCTGCGTACAGGTGAGGGTGAGGGTATAAAATAGTTGTATGGTTCTTCGTTGATGATGTAGTCAGTGTCGAGCCGCAGTTGGAAGAAGAGATGCTGGGTTAACAGCGGCATTCGCATCCGTTAAGCATGTAGGATGACGAGAAAGAGGAGCGCAGAAAGTGCAACTGCTGTCGGCAGAAAACATCAAGACCCGGAAACGACTACAAGTGGACAAAGGGTGGTCGGTCGACAGAGAGGACGGCGCCATATCGTTACCGGCACAAGAGTACAGGATGTAGAGGAGAGATTGGCGCAGTGGCCGGCGGATTGGGCACGGTCTAGCTGGTTTGCACTGGTCAACTGCAACAGCGCCTGCGGAATCCGGCCCGAACGGATCAAGTTTGCAGGCGACCGGACTGCGCCTCAACCGCAAGAAATATCGGACCGGACGAGGGACGCGTGGGGCGGGCAGAACAAGCAAGACGAACACGCAAGGTGCTGATCCTGACAACAACGTATTGGCCGAGTAAGGGTGCGTTGGCTACGGCACTTCGAAGACGGGCCGGGGTGTAGGAAAACAGGAGCGGTATTCAGTTCGCTAGCAGGCGCTTCGATGGCCTGGTGATGAGATTCGTCAACGAGCGCGCTGGGGGACGTGTGCATGGAGACGAGGGTGTGCTGGAGATACCGACTGCCAGACGAGGTGCGGACTACAGTATTCAGGACAACGAAGATAAAGAAGAAACGGAAGAGAATTTCATGAGCAACAAGATATATAACATAAGTGATGGCGATGGTGATTACAGCGTACGTCTGTGACGGTACTTAAGTGAGGGGACAAGCCTGACTGTGAGAGGTAAACGGTGATGATGAGTGTGGACAATGAGAACGCCGTCGCCTGGGTGAAGTGAAAGGGCAAGGGGCAAGAAAAAACGAGAATAGGGGGTGACCATGAGGATTCGGAAGGCGCAGCAAGCGAAGGCAGGGGGATAAGGGAGAACACACGAACCACGAAGGAAGAACACATGAAATAGCAAATAGACCAACACGACGGGATGAAGGAGACATCGCTGGCAACTTGAAATCGGAACCTTCAGGCATGTTCGGTATAAGGGCTGGGAGGTATGGGGCTACGGCGATGAACAGAGGTAAGACTTACGAAGCTACGCATACGCGTGTCGAAGAATGGCAGCCTCAACCACAAAAGCCGTCCTCGGGGAGCTTGTAACATCTGAATGAAAACGTGAAAGGTTATGGATGAGACCGAAGTAGCTGAAGAGCCGGCAGAGTAGATCTCGTAATGTTGCGAGTGCTGGGAAACAACGAGTCGACAATAAATGGGGAAGTTATCATCTCCAGAACATGTCACTGCCATTCAGGAAGTAAAGCGGGGGCGACGAGCTTGGAAGTGATTTGGGTGCCTGAGGCAATTGTGAACAAGGAGGTGTACTACTCAGCGCATTCATGGTATACGTTAGGACGTAAGGTACGAGAAACCGCTAACGTACACTGGTTCCTATCACTGGGGACAATACGATAGACACTGCTGGTGGCGCGCTCGTAGCGCAACTGTTGAGTTGGCAGAGGAAGTACTGAGAAAAAGAAAAAACATGGTAGCCCAGCATGGACAGTGCTGTGAGTAAAAGCGACACGAGAGGGAGCGGCAAGTAGGTATAGGTTTGGTGCCCGGAACACTGCTATTCAAGCTTGGCTTTGATATGGTCAGTCAGGTTCTCGACCTAGGGACGAGTTTGAACGCCCTATTGTAAAGGACCGGGGAAGGAAGGGGGGAGCTACAAATCCTCGGGATCCCAATTTTGGACGTGATAAACAATGAAAGGCAAGCTCGCGGAGGTACGAGACAAAAGCGGATGGGTGGGGCGGGGGG